TAACTCTTAAAACTCCCTGGAAGTAAATTCTCCACCTCGGTCGGATCTCATGGCTTTGATCTTTCTACCACTTTCTCTCTCCACTGTTGCTTTGAATTTCTTGAAGACTTCGAAAACTTCTGACTTCTGTTTCAATAAATATACCCAAGTTTTTCTTGAAAAAAGTCATCAATGAAGAGAAAAAAATAGTTACTGTTACCGAGAGAGCTTGGCTTGATTGGTCCACACATATCGGTATGGATGAGCTCAAGTGGCTTCTTGGCTTTTGTCTCTGACTCCTTTGGAAAGCTTTTCTTGAATTATTTACCGACTAGACACCCTTCACAAAGCTAGTCAAGATGGTTGATGCGAGGTAGTCATTTCACCATCTCCTTCTTAGATAGCAGCTCTAGACCTCCAAAATTGAGATGCCCAAATCGAAGATGCCAAAGCCATGATGCATCTTTGTAGCAAGATTTCAGGTACTTTGCAACATCATTTTGTATGTTGATCAAGAACATTATATTCTTTGACATCGGCACTTTAGCAATGAAGTTATTCTTATCATCTTTTATAGAAATATTATAATTATTCATATGAATATCATAACCTTTCTCTACCAGTTTCCCTAGCCTTAAGATGTTACTTTTCATATTGGGCACATATTAGACATTGGAAATAAATTGATGTCTCTAATCTTTCAAATGGATAAGGATGTTACCTCTCCCTTTCACTACTATTGTGGAATCATCTCCAAACGAAACATTTCCACTTACTGACTCGTCTAGCTCCACGAACTTGTCTTTCCTTCCACCATGTGATTGCTTGCACCATTGTCAATATACCAGGAATTTTCTTGGCCACTATCAGTTTCCTTCCGTGCTAGGAGAAGAGTTTCTTTGTCATTTATCTTTTCCTCCACGTAATTGGCCTTTTCCTCAATTTTATTGTTGGGAGCACTACATTCTGAAACATAATGCCCAAACTTATGATAGTTATAACATTGAACTTGAGATTTTTCATATTTTGAGTTCGGATTGATTCTTCCACAACCTCGTGTTGAGTTTTCTCCTTTCTCATAGTTGTTGTTGGAATTGTTATTGTTGTAATTCCAGCCTCGTCCACGATTGCGACTTCCACCTCGTCTATGATTGCGACTTCCACCTCGTTTATGGCTTTACCTCTACCTAGGCCACGTTGGTTTCTATCATTGCGTTGGATTTTATGCATATCTTTGAGTTGCATTTGAGGAGTTACTCAGTAAACCCATGTTTCTTCTTATGTTTCTCTTCATATGCTTGCAATGATCCTTGGAGTTTCTCGATCGTCATTTCTTCCAAGTCTTTAGTTTCTTCAATCGTCACGACGATGTGCTCAAATTTGGGATCCAACGAATGGAGTATCTTCTCTATTATCCTCATATCTTCTAACTTTTCACCATTTCTTTTTAATTGATTAGAAACAACTACTACTCTTGAGAAATAATCTAAAATAGACTCAGATGCTTTCATGTGTAAGGATTTGAATTCACCTCTTAATGTTTGGAGACAGACCTTCTTCACTTGCTCGGATCCTTTGTAAGAGGTTTGCAGCTTCTCCCACGCTTCCTTGCTAGAGCTTGCACTCGAAATCTTTTCAAAACCATCATCATCTAATGCTTGATAGATGAGGTAGAGAGCCTTCTTGTCTCTCTTTCTTGAATCCTTCAAAGTTATCTTTTGATCTGGTGTAAGAGTAGCTAAAATAACATCATCCACATGCTCGTTATAGCCTTTCTCTATGATATCCCACACATCTCTTCATTTTGATACTCCAGTTGTCGTAGTTGTTGTTGTTGAGTGTCAGAACTTGGAATTGTGTCATACCATTTGCCATATCTCTCAATATAATGAGAATTTGTAAAATCCGATTGCACGGATGAATCCGGAACGCTGAAAAACATTGGGAGGGACTTGGACAACTCGTTCAAAGGACTCCAACTCAGCTGACTCGGCTCAACTCGATGAGTTAACTCGATTTTCTGGCAACAGTCTTCCGGCAGTGCGTGGCGGCGCGTCAGAACTCATATTGGGAAGATTATGGCGGCGCCGGATTCCTCTCGTCGAGACCTTCGATCTTTCCAACTCGCTCTGATGCCACTTTGTTGGAAATGAAACACTTACACAAACAACTTTTATTGAAACTCAAACAAATATTACAAGAGCACTCTCACTCAAAAACAAGAACTACAACTCTTATAAGACTTTGCTTCTTCACTCACTTAGAAGCTCTTAATTTTTTTTTGATGTCTAAACTAAAATCGGGAGGGGTATTTATACTACTTAAGAGCAATCTTACACCACACAAATAAACTAATTTAAACCATTAAAAAATGAGACACATACTTAACTCTTACCTAACTTTCATACCTATTTTTCACCTAACTAATTTGATGTAAGCAATGACATCAAATTAGTTTGGGTGTGTGTTTAGGCTCCTATAATAGATCAAGTTTATGATCCAACAACATGATCAACACTGACGGTGCGCGTAACACATTCACTGGAGAATCTACATGTAGGGGTCATAAGGAACCATAGAGGAGAGTGGAAGATGGGGTTTGCTAAAAGGATTGGCTTATGCTCTGCCATTGAGGCTGAGCTATGGGGTATATTCGATGGCCTACAAACTGCTAGGGGATTGGGAGCAAAGAAAGTTCTGGTTAGAAAGGACAGCAAGGAAGCTGTAAACCTAATTCACTCTAATTCTAGGCAAGGAAGACAAACTTACATTACCGCAATACATAGACAACCTAAGGAAAGATAATTGAACAATCAAGTTTGAGTATATTCCCAAGTAATACAACGAAACCACGGATAGATTGGCCGAAATATGCATTTGATCTTCCGCTATGACTCCATAAGTTTGCCCAAAGGCGTGTTACGATACCTCCTGAACTGCAGGAGGAACAGTCACGTTAGTTTTCTTTAATCTGTAACTTCTCTCCTCAAAAAAAAATAAAAAATAAAAATTAACTTGTCAATTTTTATAAAATATAAAAAATTAAATTTTAATACAGTGAATTAAAATATGCCAATTTTCGTAGAGTGAGGGAATTTATAATTTGACCGTTTCCTGTATATATATTAGATAGAAGAGATGTGAATGAGAAATGAATGGACTAGCTTTGGAGTTGGACTTTTACTTGCATAGCTTTGTTTGAAGCTTTTGTCGGGTTGTGAGTTGGATATTATAGAGAATTATGATTACGACCTATATGCTTATGCATGTGTTTTAGAATTTTCCAATGGATTTTCTCAAGAGCTGTAAAGTTGGGTTTGGTCCATTCTATATCGATTTGAGCCCTACCCTAACCTAACCTAGCCCTAGGGTACTACTTGGGCACACCTCCATTTAATAATGCACTTACATTGTAAATTGATTGAAATGTACATCCACATACCAAGGATAAACTTTGAATGAGAGTTAGATATGCTGATAGATATTTGATTCGTTTGGAAATTCTCGTAAGGTTTTTGTTTGAGTTCAACATTTTAAAAAAATAAATAAATTTATATTTGTGTTTATGTTTGAATGAATTTTTTTAACTCCATCAATGAAGTATATCCTTACACGATCAACTGTGTCAAAGATTTAAATTGTTTATCCATAATTAGTTAGTTTAATAAAATAAGATATTAGACTCTTTTAAGTGATGTTAAAAGTTCAAATTTTTTAGTATATTAAATTGAAAAGGGTCATCATGAGTATGTACAAAACTCAATCAAAAATAGACGATATACTGATGAATAAGTTAATTTTTTAAACCATTTAAAATTTAAATTATTTATAATTTATGATTAAATTAAATTGAATCAAAACTTCAATTGAAATCAAACTTGCAAGATATCAGTGTTTACCGATACAGAATCAACCTTTTTGGTTGGACAAAGACGATAATAATGCATGGGCAGCACCAAACAAGAAACTAAATTAATGGCCATTAAGAATGCAAAAGAAAAGGGTGGAAATGTTGATTAGATGAGATAAGAATAACAATGCAATTCGAGTACTTATGCTTGGGTTGATTAGGACAAATTTCCCAGATGTAATTTGACTCCATACCAAGCAAACAAGTCAAAGAACACGACCCACCACCATTAAATTATATTATATTCTTTCTCCCATTTGGACAATTATTATAACCCAAGGGAAAATAATCATATTAAAACTCATTGTTTCGGATTTGGAAAATTTCATCTCTCTTGTCCATCTCTCGATGCCATTTTCTTCGATTTTTGATTGCATCTGGAGCTGGTATTTGGTTTCTGGTTGTTGGCCACTTGGCACGTTTCATGCAAAGAAAAGGACGAAAGCAAGGCTTGAATCTCAAACGGGTAGTTGCCATTTGGACTACAAATGTACAATCAAAATATAAATTTCACAAATTTAATTCTCATTTAATAAAGTTGGCGACCAACCGAAACACAGTTTAAAAACGTAGCTTTACTAGCTTATTTTAATCACTTATATTTTGATGTTCGATGATCATACAAGATTTTGATTAGATTAAAGATTAAATTTTCATTTAAATTTTAGAATAAAACAAAACTCTTGAACGGGTATCAAGAGAGAGAGAGAGAGAGAGGTGCGTGCAAGTGCAATCAGCTTGGTTCCAATACGGCCATTTTTTATAATTTTTTTTTGGACTTTTGCACTCGTACTGTTTCCAGGGTGTATATCTCGGGGTTAATACAACGGCTATATTATTTTCATTGTGCCACGTGACGAATTCTGAGCAGAACCAATCCAATGGAGTTTGGCGCCCAAAAACCCATGTGGGTCCTAACGGTTCTTGTCTGCTCTCGGACACACTGATTCTTCAACTGAGCTTTTTGTCTATTTAGTTGACTCATAAAGTTTGAATTTTTATTATTTTTACTTCACTTCCCCCCATGGCCGGCAACGCATTTGAAAAGGGACTAGCAGTCGGTAAAAGTTGTAAAAGAAATGAAGTAACATACGAGAAAGGTAAATGGAACTTGAACACTTAACTGAAATGATAAAAATAAATAAAAACTCACCCCTACTGTTAATAATTTTTTGTCCGAAACTAAAAAAATGGTAAAAACAAAGAACAAGAAAAATGGGTTTGTTTATGCTGGTGAAGGTTGAGAGGTGGGGTCAGCTGATGAAGGAATATCAGCCCCTACACGACAACCTTCGAGCATGAACACGATATCGGCCATTGTCGGTCGATCGAGAGGATCCGGAGCCGTGCAAAGTAACCCGACTTTGATTCCCAACAGGAATTCTTCCCATTCTGATGATTCAGGGTCGAGCTCGAGTAACCCCGGTTCTAAAAGTTCGGTGATCTGGCCCCTCTGAAGCTGTCGTTTAACCCATTTCACGATGTCTTCATCCTCGGTGAACATGATTGGCCTTTTCCCCGTGAGTAGTTCGAGCAGAACGATTCCAAAGCTGTAAACATCTGATTCTTTGGTGGCTTCCCCTGTTAGAACTGCTTCCGGGGAGACGTAACCCAATGTTCCGACCAAAGTTGAAGTGGAAGCTTCTGCTAGAGTGGCGACTGTGAGACGGTCCAAGCCAAAATCTGATAAATGTGCTTCAAAATCGGCATCGAATAGGATGTTTTGGGGCTTGGCATCTCCGTGAACCATGTTGGATGCATGTAGGAAGGCTAAACCACGGGCGATGCCAAGAGCAATAAGGTGGCGCATTGGCCAATTAAGGACATGACCATCTTGGTGGGATGCCTCTTGAAGGAGTGTTGCGAGGTTGCCGTTGGGCATGTAATCATATACAAGAAGCCTCAAGTCCGGTGGACCTGCGTAGTAGCCACGGAGAACAGTTAAGTTCCGGTGCTTCACTCTGCCTAAAAATTCTGCTTCTTTTCTGAACATGTTTTCATCGAGTGATCGATCTGGTAAGCTGCGTATAGACAGCACCATTCCATCGTTGTAGCAAGCCTTGAAGACCAACCCGTATCTGCTTCTGCTAAGCACATTCTCTTCAGCAAATTGCCTAGTGGCTTCAATTGTTTCAGCGAGTGTGATCTTGTTATTGAACATAACAAGCTTTGGACCTCCACTGTCTGTGCTGCTACGACCTCCGCTTGCACCAGAACTAGCCCTCGCAGGGCTCCGTTTCTTCTCCCCAGCAGCTTCCTTGAGCTTCCTGCGCCATCTCAATAGGCTGAAAACATAGAAGCAACAACACAATGACAAGAAGATAGAAGCACAAGCTATCGCAACAATCAAAAGAATCAATCTTCTCCTACTGCTCTTTTCAGCCACGTTTTCACAATTCCGGTGCAACGGCTTTCCGCACAAGTCTTGATTATCCGCAAATGCCGATGGATTGTTAAATTTAGAAGCCAGAGTAACTGGAATCTCCCCCTCTAGGTCATTCCTTGACACATTGAAGTAGACCAATCCAGATATAAGACTGAGATTAGCAGGAATCTCTCCACTCAAGTCATTAGAAGAAAGATCCAGCATTGTAAGATTAGATAACTCGGAGAGAGAATCCGGTATGCTACCAGATAGCCGATTACCATCAAGTAACAATGTGGTCAACGACAAGCATTTGGAGATTTCTGCTGGGATTTCTCCTGTTAAGTTGTTACCACCCAAATCTAGCACATTAAGCCTTGAAAGGCCAGAGAGATCAGCAGGAACGTGACCTGTCAAAGAATTCGATCCAAGCTCAAGAACTTCAAGCTCGGTGCAGTTCCCAAGCTCGGGCGGGATCACACCACTTATGTGATTATTAGACAATGAAAGAACTGCTAATGAATGTAGAAAGCCAAAAGTTTCCGGTATATGACCGAAAAATAAATTGGAACTAAGATTCACATACCGCAAACTCATCAAACTACTGAACCCTTCCGGAACATCCCCGGACAACATATTTTCTTGCAATGCAATAACTTGCAGATTAGGTAAACCTGAGAGCTCAAAAGGCAATTCACCTGAGAGATTCTGCTTGCTTAAATCAAGAGTTGTTAGCTTGAACAAGGCACCCAAACTCGCCGGAATCTTCCCAGAAAAACCATTAGCGCTTAGATTCAAGACAATAATCCGACTCAAGTTCCCAATACTTGCAGGAATCTCACCTGTAAACCTGTTCCCACTCAAGTCCAATGTACTCAGATTGTTCAATCCCATTATCTCCTCCGGCAGTCTTCCGTTCAAATATTAAGTCCCAAATTCAAGGTTTCAAGCTTCATAAGATTCCGAAGACTACCCGGAATTGAACCCGAAAACATATTCACCCCAAGAGATAGCACTTTCAAACCGGTCATGCCACTCAAAAAGCCAGGAATCTCACCGGAGAAACGGTTTCCTCCGAGATCAAGAACATGCAATGACTGGCATTGCTTGATCTCAGCAGGAACCATCCCAGTTAAAGAATTATTAGCCATTTTCAACTCCACCAATCTAGACAAACTCCCAATCTGAACCGGAACCGCACCCGACAACAAATTACCCGAAACATCCAACATTGTTAACGTTGTTACACCAGTTAACCATAAAGGAAAAGTCCCACCAATCTGGTTACCAGACAGATCCAGAACTTGTAAGACACTGTAACATTTCCCTGATTCAGGATCAACAACACTCTTAAACAAATTAAACCCCAACTGAACAATCCTAATAGAAGGCGGGTAAACGGTGACATTACAGAACAAAGAAACCGGCACTGTTCCTGAGAGATTGTTGTGAGAAAGCGAAACAACTTGAAGATTAGGAAGAGCTCCAACAGCTGCAGGGATTACCCCACCAAGCGCATTGACCTCGGCACTAAAATGAACAAGTGAAGAGCAGTTGGCTAAAGCTGAAGGCAAAGTTCCTTCCAATAAATTAAAATCAAGCCATAGATATTGAAGCTGTTGAAGCTCACCAAAACTAGCCGGAATCTCACCAGAAAACTGGTTATACGACAGATTAATGAGTTGAAGCCGCGTTAAATTAGCAACGCTTCTAGGAATGGGACCAGAAAATGAGTTTAAAGAAAGATCGATATACTTGATATTTCGTGGGAGATCCCCTGGGATTTCGCCGGAAAGTTGGTTTTGAGCCAAGTTTAAAATGGCCAAATCGGTGAGATTACTTATCTCCGACGGTAGTGCCCCGGAGAGTGAGTTGTACTGCAAGAAAACAGCGCGTAGAAACCTGCATTGGGAGAGCGTCGATGGTATGCTGCCGTTGAAGGAGTTGGAACGGAGGCTGAGCATTCTAAGATACTTGAGGTCAGAGAGACGGTCACTGAGTTGACCACTGAGTTGGAGGTGAGGCAGACGTAGCTCCGTGACTCGGTTTTTAGTACATGCAACCCCACGCCAGTCGCATGGAGCTGCAGGGGTCGACGGATCCCATCCATATAAAGCTCCAAAAGGGTCATGGAGATTAAGCTTGAAAGAGGTCAGAGCTTGAATCTCAGCCTGGTTCTGGGCTAGTAACAACAATGGCGAGCAAAGAAGCAAAAAGAAGAGAAAAACGAAACCTTTAGACATCATTCAGAAAAAAAAAAGTCAGTGTTTTCGGGAACACGATGAGAGATGAAGTCTTTGAAGAACTAAAGGGTGTAAAGATTGATGAACAAAACAGAGAAAGGAGCGTCTGATAACAAAGCCGTTGGTTTTGCCATATGGTTTTTGGCAATGGGCAGTCTCTGGCAGCAGCAACAATCAACAATCAGCAATCAGCAATCAGCAATCAGCAGAGAGACCCACACACCAGAAAGAAAGAAAGAACAGAGAGAGCTAAGGGTTAGCCTTTCTGTCTAACAAAGGGGTATGGGCATGGGGAGGAGTGTTTAGTTTGAGGGGTAAGCTATGGGTAAGGCTTGTTTCCTTTTCCTGGAAAAAGCCTTGAATATGCACTTTATTTGCACAAGCAAGTGGTGGGGCTTGGGAAAAGGGAGACTTGGCTGTTTTTCTAACCTCGATATGATATTTAATGGGCAGAATCATTGAGCCCTGTGTGCTACCATCTTATCCTTCCTCGCTTCTGATCTTTCATTTTGTTTGTGTCACTACTTTCAGCAATTCACAACTTAAAAAGTATTTCTTTATATTGATAGAATGAATATATGCCATTGTTAATATACTAAAAATTTCTAAATAAATATATTATTTAATAATCACCTCATACCCTTTTATCTAAATTTCCTTTCTTTTTTCTCATTTGACGTTTGCTGTCATCTTTTTCTCAAAATTTTATGGTTCTGAAACAACTTTTTGTTTGTCACTGTTGGATTCAAAGGTGGAGGAGTTACAGTGTGAGACATTGTTTTCAAATGAATTATGAAACCTAGGGTAAGTACCCAAAGTGTGTGTTATTTGTAATTGAGAAAAAGGCAAATGCAAAGATGTGAGCCCACCGGACAAAAGGCTAGTCAAGGATGTGGGCCACAAGCATTGGTTGTCCCCACACTTGTTCAATGATGGAAAACCAAAATTGAAGGATAAAGGAGTTGAAATGTGAGCATCATGAAAATAAATTTCTTTTGGAGGCAAGTTTGGAATTAATGTATTATTATCAGCTTTCAATGGGATGTTAGGATATGTTAACTTGTTATTGGAGTGAAAGAAAATTTGATTTAACTTAAAAAATTTTAATTTTTTATTGGAATAATATTTATTTTAGATACTTTCAACCATTTGACGATTAACGTTCAATCACCCGTACTGTAATAGTTGGTGATAGAATTTAAAACCCTTAAAAATAACAATCATTCCTTTAATAAATCTTTGATTCTTAATTTTAAATTATTTGGATTAATGTATCCATATTATTTAAATTAACTTAAATTTATGACTCATATTTTAAATTTTAGTTGAATTCATATTTTAAAATTTAAACAACAGTATAATTTGATAATAATAATAATAATAATAATAGGATAAATTACAAATTTAATAACTAAATTTTACTCTCTCTCATATTTTACTCATTGTACTTTTAGTTTTTTCAATTTAATCATTAAGCTTTATAGATTAACTTTTTTATTTAACTATCAACTTTCTAACGGTGTTATGACGTGATAATCAACACAAAAAATATGTAGTTTTGGATCTTATATAAAATTAAATTTAGACCAAAATGAACTAATTTTAATCTAATTAAAAAAAATTATTTTTATTTCTTTGATTTTCTGTTTTTTCCTTATTTCTTCTTCCTCCCCTAGCTCTTCACTTCTCTCCTTAATCTCAATAAACCCATATCCTGACCACCACGCCGGTCACCTTGGCCGAAGACCAATTAACAAGTACATATTTCACCTCATTGTTCTATCAACGAAGTAGGTTCACCTTTTGAATCTGTCAGAAAAGGTGATTTGGATAAGGTCGTATTGTTACAGCTTCACCTTTTGAATCTGTCAAAGAAGCTGGTTCCAAGTAAGATGGAAATCTCAGAGAACACGAACTCTGGAGATATAATAGATGTATTTGTAATGGTGTTAATGTTAATACAATCTATTCTAGTGCTAAATGTGACTGTAAAAGTGGATTCTTCGAAGGTGCTTGCTGTTTCATTAAAATCGGAGCTTAAATAGGAAGAGTCTGCTCTTGCCACTATTAAGCAAACTGAAGGTATGTCAGTTGATGTTGCTTCTCTGAAAGATGACACAGATAACACTGAGTCAAAATAACTTCAATGAAAAAGAGGCCAGAGATAAAATGGTGGAGGTGCCCAACCAACTGTCGCAGGCAACACAAGAGGCTCTTGATGCCACACCATTTGCTCAAATAACTTCAATTAAATGATTAAATTGAAAAAAATTAAAAGTATAATAAGTGAAATAAGAGAGATAATAAAGTTCAATCGTTAAATTTGTAATTTTCTCATAATAATATTATGTTGTTTTTTATCTTTGACTTTAGTTAGATAATTTGATTATTTTTGTGATAAAAGTTTTTCTAATTCTTCTTTCGTTTTCAATTATTTTAATCAATTTTGAATTACATATCCCTCCATCACAGTAGAATATATGTTGAACTTTAGTTTTTATTTTTAACAATAATTTTTTTTGGTAATTTAATTCTTAAACTTTATATTTTATTCATTTTGATAGGTCAAATGCCCTCTTATAAAAATTCTTTCTTTTTGTCATTTTCTTGGATCCTTTAAACTCTAAACACTACTTTATCTTTAGAATCTTTTTTTTAATTAACATTATAAATATAGTATATAATTTTAGATAATATTTAATTAGTAAATAGCTGAGTTTACCCAGGGAGATGAGATATTATATTGATGTATGCTCAGGCGAGGCTCTAAAAGACTGGGGGTCTGGAAACCTGTTCATAGTTCATACTAGACCTTGGTAGTCACCTAGCTGTAAACAGAAGTGTGTGTTTCGATTGTTGCACAACGGTTCGTGTCGGATTCATGGTACAAATTATATCAGTTCTGACATTGGAAGACTCTCAGCTTTGAATCTCAGTAAGGAATGTGTTCGTTTCTTCCCTTGCTGCAACCAAATACAAATTTATAACAACGTACATTCTTCAAGTCATCTCGTAAACCCCCTGTCTAAATATCAGCAAGGAGACCTTGATAAACAAAACAAATCGGATATCTTTGATAAAATGCTTTAATTATACTGTCTATATAACACATTGCAGGCCTCAAACCTAAATCACCATGGTGGACTGCTAGTAAGTAACAAAATGTATATTTCTGCCTATGGATAGTGGTTTGTAGGAAAAATATATCTATCATCTTGGGGCCTGCCCAAGGGCTTCTGCACTTAAATTTTCTATCATACAACAGCTGACAACAACATTAAACATAACCTACACAAAATGCAGAATTTTTCTTCATTTCAAAACTAAGGGAAAGCAATCAAATTTGTATATTTACCAGAATAGTCACTTCAACTCCAAGCTTCAGATTCTTCAGCTTTGATTGCCACAAACTTGGACTCTTTCCAGGGTGTATTTTCATGACTATAAAAGTGAAAATTCCAACACAATTTTTAAAATAAAACTTATAACCCTTTTTTTTAAGAGGGAAAGTTGCGGTCGTGATGCAATGAGTTCAAGTCATATATTGAAGTGAAACTTCTCTGTTTGATTGTTAGTTCATTTGCTTGAAACAAAGTCTTATAAGCCATTGCATTAAATTATTCCTGCAAAGTCATAGGCTCCAAATGGAAATGGTAGATTTCCATCTCAAATTCAACTATGATTAAGGAAGTTAAATCCAAAACACAAATAGGAAAAAAAAGGGAAAATAATTTGTCAATTTACATTAGAAATAAATAGAAAAGTGTAGTTAAAGTTTTGCAGTATTTTCTTCATTGCGGCCTTTGTAACCCTTCTTCATATGGTATCCTTGAATTTCATGCAAAAGCTAATAAATGACAGTGAGAAAGCACTGGACCCTTTGTGAACAAAGCACAACATTAACAATTGCAACACCCCATGTGTTGAGGAAAATCAATTGCTTAGCGTTTTCCATTCTTCTTCTTCCTTCAAAGTTGAAAAGAGGCCCATGCATGTGCATTAATATTTTGTTCACAATAATCTCTTTAATGTCTATTACATAAGAATGGCATATTATATTGCTTTCCAAGATTGGTACAAATCACTCTGTTTTGCTTTCAAAAAGAGTTATGGTCGTCCAACAAGGCCTCAAAATCAAGAAGGTGAACCGGGTTCCGAGGGAAATTCGGTGCATATCAAGTTAACCTCCTGACCTGAGATGGACCGAGGACAAATAGTAGGACATAGCATGTATAAGAAAATGGACAACAAAGAGTAGCTTGTACAAACAACTAACCTTAAATACAAGTGTATTATTAGAATAAAGGGTTAAAAATGTCTATCAGAAAATTATTTTTTTAAATTAAATTATTTTATTAATTTGTACCTAATCGAATTATTATTTTTATGTTTTTTAATGATTTTTATTAGTTGATGATTTTGATCATTAACGACAAATGGATCAATGAGATGTCAACTTATTACGTGCTCTAAAATTGTCACATTATTTGATTATTAAAGATATTTAAAAAAAAATAAATTATATATATACAAACACAGTAGAATAGGGCTATATCGACGTTTTTAGTCCTATAGCGGCGTTTTTAAGCGCATCAAAAAAGATTCCCGACAGAAACAAAAGCGTCGCAAAATACGCCGCTAAAACTAACACCGCAAATATTAGCGGCGTTTGTAAATGAAAAATGCCGCAACAGGTTCTTATTTTTTGCGGCGTTTGTTTTCAAAACACTGTAATAGGTGTGGACATTTAGCGGCGTTTTTTGTATAAACGCCGCAACTGATTATGACATTTAGCGGCTTTTTTTGTTTAAATGCAGCAACAGATTATGACATTTAGCGGCATTTTTGTTTAAACGTCGCAATAAGTTATGATATTTAGCAACTTGTTTGTATAAACGCCGAACCAGGTTATGATATTTAGTGGTGTTTTTATATAAACGGCAAATGTGTACTCCTTTAGTGGCATTTTTCATCCTTAAACACCGCTAATCAATATTCATTTTATACTCTTTATTGCCCAAATTTAACATATCCTGTAACAGTTAATATCCAATAACAACCTTGATACATCTCGAATTAAGTACTTAACAACATAAATAAATAAAGTTTACAAACCATTCAAGTAATGTAGTTCAACATTAAGTCAAATGTAATATAGTTCAACATTAAGTGAAATGTACATAGTTCAACAACTATAATAAACAAAGCATGAACCTAAGAAATAACCTAGGGTGGTGAATTTCGTGGTTGAAATTGTTGCATCATCTGATTCATAGTTTCAAGTTATTTTTTAAGTTCATCATATTTTAGTTGATATGTTGCTTCTCTCGATTCTCATTCTGCTTCTCTCGCTTCAGTTCGGCTTTTATTTGTGCAAAATTTTCATCCATCTCAATCAACTGTTGTTTCAATCGAATAACTTCTAATTGAGAAGATTAGCTCTATATTGACATGTACTGAGATGAACTAGATCCAAAATATTTGGATGGGGTAACGAATGATCCCTGACAGCGAACTCGACCATATCTTTCGGGAACAAAAATTTTAACAATAACTTGATTTTAAATCTCATCCACATTGATGGAACCATGAAGTCGTTATTTAAAATCAATTAAGAATTTAGAATAAATTGAAACGTTATTTAAAATAAAATGTTCTACTATAAATATAAGTATAACATAATTTGAATTTTATGTCCAATAAATATATCATGATTTCTGCAGTTTCAGGAGCCATAGGAGAGACATCTTTTTTGTATGTGTCAGATTGAAGAGCTTTATTCGTCCAACTCAATTATGGGACATAGTTTTCTACAATATAGAACATAAATTAGTACTTAAGAAAAATGTTAATTACTATTTTAATAATCATAATTAAAAAAAAATACCTCCTCATGAGCTACACGAGCGAAACTCTTCGATCCAGTTGTGTGAGTAAACTTTTGCTATTGTCTGCTAGCAATACCAATGTGCTCTCGATCCTACAATTTAAAATTTACATGACTTATAAAGTGAAAATTATAATGCCATAATTTTATTTTTTTTAAATTCACATCATACCTCTCATTTCTTTGAACTCCAAAACCTGACAACATCTTTCCACTGATACCTGAGCATTTCAGGTTGGGCATTTTGTGGCTTTTGTTCTAGGCTGAGATTATTCTTAAAGTATTTTTTTTCAAGGAACTCTTGTGGTCTCTCCATTTCTTTCCTAATGCTTGCTTCAAATAATCATCTGAAACATCTAAAGAAAAAATATCGTACAAATAACACAAATGTTAAAAGTAAATATAAATTAGTAATGAACTGTAATGAATGATCTATTATAATGAAATTATTACCTTAATACAATCCACAACTTGATTTTTGTTACTATTTGGCATCTCATGCCATGACTAAAAATTGATCGGTAGAAGATTAGCATTGCGCACAATCACGCCTAAGTAACCAACTAGAACACGTGCTTCTGTCCCAATAGGTTGGCCGACATTATTCTTGTAACTTTGAAACGGTCTCCAGCATGAAGTTCACATAATTTCTTCATCATCGTGCAACCTCTAGTTTTGCGTTTTTCACCATTTTCGGCTACATAAGAAATAATTTAGTGTAAGTTTTCAAAATCAAGTCAATAAAAAAATCTACTACCATTTAAATATAGCATCGAACATTAACTTCAATTTCTACAGTTTCTTCAACTGTATTCGAAACTTCTAAATATCCACCACTAATCTTTCCAACGGTTTTTGAATCACATCAATCCGATATTGGGAACTTAATATATGACCATTTTACTGAAGACGGTGCGTGCAGGAAATCCTATACGAGATTAATACGTGATTTTGTAAATATTACGAATTTTCAATAATTATATTGATTATTTGTAATATAATTTAATATAGGATGAAGAATTATCTTTTAGGACCAGATTTATTATTTTATTAGGAATTAAGGTTGGGTTAAAACAATATTTTTAGTTATTATTATTTTATTAGGAATTAGAGTTAAGACATGTTTAGTTTATTATTATTTTATTCTTTAGTTATTTAGGACCTTTAGAACTCAGCCCTATATAAAGAAGGGTTCATTCAACTTTGTAAATCAAGATTTCTTTGATTAATAATACAACGAGAGTTCGTTTTTGCAAGTGTTGATTGCCTTGTGCCTTCGAAGTTTCTTCTCCTGAGTTCTTTCAAGTTCTTGTGAGGGAGATTAATCTTCACATTTGCCTTTTCATTGTGACTAGGAGGGTTGGTTAGATCCATATTATCTTCTTTTCATTGCGACTAGGAGGGCTCGATAGGACATTATCCGTCGATTTTCCACATATCCATCTACGCCATCAATCATTTTTACCGTTCACTTTCATAAGGGAGATCTTTTGATTTCTTAATTGTTTTTCTTTATTTTCAATTCCTTTATCTTTTTATTTATCTTGTTTTAATCTTGTTTCTTATCTTGTTTCCAGCACACAAAAAACCCCTAAAAAACCCTAACTATTTTCACCACCTTCCTCATTCATCCCTTATTGTTCTTCATCGAGTCTAGAGCTTTTCTAGGTTTGATTCTTCAACAAGAACAACGTTCATTAACCCGCCACCGCTTCCCTATCAAACCCTCATCCATTATATCGTGGCAATAAAAAACTTGTTTGACTTGAAAATAAAATACACAGGGCTCGTCCATCAATTGTAGTCCAGTGTGAATTAATCGAGAGAAGTTCACCATTGTAAAACATCATTGATCTCTTTTAATGCCTCGAGTAGTAGTTACATCAGCCCAATCACATTGAAATAAAACAACCTTTTATTTGCCATAATAATCCAACTCAATAATGTCGGTAAGGATTCAATAATATTCTACATCTCCATCCACATGATGGTTATCTTAGCACTAGCATAACTTGTAGTTGAAGAAGTAACAACTTCCTTCGTAATCTTTCACGAGATTTCGTGTGGAACCTGAACCTATTAATGAGAAAGATATTATATTTTTTAACAATTCTATTCAGACCTTGAGAAAACCATTTAACATCTTCACTAACTTCCCTCCCACTCCAAACCTATTAAGCGTGAAGGGTGAATTAGTTAGTATTTATATCAATATATTAAAACAAGATTATACATTATTTACGTGTGGTGCAAAAATTTAGTTACTTACCACATGTCCTAACCATGAAAAGTTTATGTGAATAACTTATGAATCTCTCGTTGATTTAATCTTCGTGAGCGCGAATGAGATCTCAAGACTTCTTTAAACTTACTATAAAGTAGATTGAATGGTTAAAGAATGAGAAATATAAAATAATAAGAAAAAACATTAGAATTTTTATTGTAAAACTTACTTGCGAAAGGGATCAATTACATCATGATGGAAAAGAACATATCGGTGTGCTTGTACCCTAAGACGTATCATCTATTTGTGCAATTTTAACTTTGTCGAGTGGTTCACCATAACTTCCAAATAAATAAGTCTCAGCTAAGGTATTCATATTGCACACTTCATTTCTATGTGGCCCATTCAACCTTGTTTCAACATCATCCAAATATCTACAGTAAAAAGTCATACACTCCTCTTCCAAATACCCTTCAGCAATTGATTCTTCTAGATATCGCTTATTACGACATTACGACTTCAATTTTCACAAAAACCTAGAAACAAATCATAACATTATAGTAATAGTTGCAATCAAAAGATATATCTAATAGCAATTGAATACATATAATTCAATTATCACCTCTCTATAGGATACATCCATCGATAGAAAACGAATCCACCAACTTTAGCTTTGTGAGGGAGATGAACCAAGAAGTGCATTATAATTGTGAAGAATAAAGGTGGAAATATCTTCTCCAGACTGCATAAAGTCAAGGTGGCTTGATCTTTTAATTTCTCAAGTTCTTCAACCATCAGAACTTTCCCACAAATAGCTTTTATTATATTGTAAAGTTTAATTATACAAGACGTCACCTTAATCGACATACAACCACGTAAAGCAAATGGCAGTAAATCTTTCATCAATATATGATAATCATGTGACTTTAGAAAATAAAGTCTCAATCTTTAACACTGACAGATCAAGATATTTGATGCATACTCATCTGATACCTTTATATCCTTTAACACCGTAAAAATAGATGGCGGTAATCAAGATTTTTTATTAAGAAGTAATTGGGGATGAAGATCACGTCGAATTCCGATATCAACTAAGTCAAGTCGACTATTTAGATTTACTATCGACATTTAGAATGGCCCCGTTAATATTCTTACAAACATTCTTCTCGATGTGCATGAAATCAAGATTATGTCTCAAAAGTTGATCATTTTAATAAGGCAACTCAAAAAAATACTTCTCTTTTTCCATAAATCCACCTCATTTGGATCATCATCTTCATCAAACTCGTCATCACTTTGTTGTTTAACATCACGATCATACACTTGCTTTGCCTTTTTCTTTGAATGCATGTTTGATGGTTGATTCACCTTTCCATAAGTGAACTTTTTATGTTTCAACATTGACAAGATATCAGAGCCAATTGTTTTCTCAGAAGTTTTTCTAAACTCTTCAGTGCCATCAAACATAGTTTTTTGATATTTGAATATGTGGTTTTCATCTAACCACCGACGATGTCCCATGTAAGTGAACTTCTTTCCATTATACAACCACCTTAAACATGTCTACGCAGAACAACAAGGACAAGCATAACGACCTTTGGTACTTCAACCAAATAGATTTGCATAAGCAGGGAAATCATTAATAGTCCATTATAAGAGCTGCACGTAAATTAAAGTTCTCTTTCTTCAACACATCATATGTTTCAACACTCACCCATAATTGTTTTAACTCTTCAATAAGAGGTTGTATATAGATGTCAATATCATTCCCGGGACCTTTCTCACCAGGATTATCATTAATAACATAAATAATGATTGTTTTATGCAAATTCACGGAGGTAAATTATAGGGAACAAGCATAACATGCAAAGTATTGTATGAAGTGCACATGCTTTTAAAAGGATTAAACCCATCAGATGTAAGACCAATCCTGACATTTTGGGGATCTTCTGCAAAACTTGAAAATTTTTGGTCAAATGACTTCTAAGCTAAACAATTCACATTATGCCTTAATAATCCATCATCTGTTCGTCCATCATAATGCCACCTCATAGATTCAGTAGTTTTTTAAGACATAAAAAGTCTTTGAAGCCAAGGTATTAGAGGAAAATATCGTAGAATCTTTACAATCTTCTTTCTTGATCATGATTCAACTTTTTCCTCACTCATATTTTTTGTATCCACGTTTATCCACCGAGATGTTTTGCATGCATAACATGACTCTTGTTTTTTTCGATCACCCATTATAACATGCAATCACTCGGACAACTATGAATTTTCTCATAACCAAGACCCAAATCTTTTATCATTTTCTTTGTATCTTTGCATGATTGCGAAATTTTTGCAAAAGGGAACATTTCTCTCATAAACTCTAGTAACTACTTAAAAACGTTACCAGTCCATCCTCCCGAACATTTTAAGTGGAAAAACAAATGCAAAATGAGAGTTTTGAATATTTCGATCCCTCATAAAGTTGTTCATTCATCTCATCAAGAAACTTATAAAACTTTGTCGCTTCTCCATTTGACTCTTCATTGCATCCACTTCTTCCTATCTCAGTAAAATCATTAACACCCATATCGCAATCATCTTCTCTAACATACTAATGATAATTGTTCATATTAAATGCATACTAAAACATACCCTCCATGTCATCTTCTCTAACAGATTGACGATTAAAATCATGACAGAAGTCTCGATTACTTATGGAAGAATATCTACGACATGTCAACTCTCCATGGAATATCCATTTTTTATATCCTCGAAAAAAGCCAAATACAATTAGATGTTCGGGGAAAACTTCACGATTATGCTAATTAATGTTAGCACACTTCTTACAAAGACAAAGAATCATATTATCTTGGTTTACTTTTACAAAAGCAAAATTTAGAAAAAAATTTACTTTATTTCGATAGTTGTCGCTTACCCTTGATAAATCCATGCACTCTTATCCATTACGTATTTCTGGAATATTCATTTCAAATATTAATTAGTAAAAGTCAAGTGGAAGTAAAATCTATGAACTAATATAATAATATAATAACACGTGTAATTAACTTGCACTTAATAATTGTACTCCCTTTTGGTTTGATAATTACAATAATATATGAAATCAGATAATTTTGGTATAATGGATCATGACCAAACGCCCTATATATATATATATATATATATGGGTAGCGTAAGGCATTGATAAGACATCAAAATTTCCTAAATGAGTCCTACATTGATAAGCCCTTCAATGCCGTGGGATTATTCACTTTGGAATATGGATGAAGAAGGGAGTAAGATGTCAACATGTAATAAAAAAAATGATTATAAGAGTATATTTGAATCTAAATAAAAAAAGTTGTCAACATGTAATAAGATTTAAACAAATAGGTGGAACTCAAACTTAAATACTAAAATACTTAATAATGAAGCCTTTGATACTTGAGCATGACAGAAATCAATCAAAGTTGCTACAAATGATCTAGTTATGGTGAATTGGAAGTGCAAGAGAAAAGAAGAGAAGAAGGTACGAAGACAATGCTCAATGATATTTCAGAATAGCAGAAAGATACAATGTTTTAGGAAAATAACAAAATACACATTCTCTTTTTGAATAGTGGATCAGGACCACTATATATATAGATAAGTCTAACTAACTAGCCCAACTGACTAGAAATTGGTTACAACAGATTTAACAAAAATAGTTACAGCAACGACTATCAACTGTAATATGATACACTAATATTCTCCTGGTTTTCTTATGATCAGAACTGCCACTTTAACATTTTCCTGGCTTCTTCAAACTTGCTTCTCATGACTGATGCTGTTGATTTCCACCCAAGACTTAAAACCAAGACGTGAATGCATATCACTAAGGTGATAACGGCTTGGTGAGTATGTCAGCAACCTGTTCTACAGAAGGAACAAAGTTTACACTAAGTTGTTCAGCCAATACTCTTTTCCTCACAAAGTGTATATCAATTTCCACATGCTTTATTCGAGAATGGTGTGTAGGATTTGCTGCCATAGAAATTGTAGAGGTGTTATCACACCATACAACTGGCTTTCCAGTTATACTAATGCCGATTTCATCAAGTAATTGTTCAATCCAAATCAATTCAGAAACATAATTAGCAAGGCTTCTATACTCTGCATCTGAAGTAGACTTAGACACAACGCTTTGTTTCTTAGAACACCATGCAATTGGATTACCTCCAAGATATACACAGTAGCTTATTGTGGATCTTTTGTCTTCCACCGAGGCTGCCCAGTCTGCATCAGTGTAGCAGACTAAATTGAAACTGCCAGTTTGTGAGAAAAATAACCCATGCTCAAGTGTCCTACTGAGGTATCTCAATATACGTTTTACTTCCCTCCAGTGAGTATCACACGGACTGTTCATGTACTGACTAACCTTATTATTAGCATAGGATATGTCAGGTCTTGTTAAACATAGATATTGCAAACCTCCCACAATACTGCGATAGAGATGAACATCACCAAACAAATGTCCATCATTTACCTTGAGTTTAGGAGTAAGAACCATAGGAGTAGGAGTTGACTCATCTAAGTTTGACCTCTTTAACAACTCAGAAATATACTTCTTCTGATTTAAAAACAAGCCTCTTGGAGAGTGTTCAACTTACATTCCAATAAACAATTCCAACTGTCCCAAGTCCTTAAGAGAGAATTCCACATTAATTGCTTGCACTATGGCATCCACTTCTATAACTCGATTTCCTGTGATGACTATATCATCTACATACACCATTGATAATACTTGAGAACATGTTGAGTTTCTTATAAACAGGGAAGAATCAGCCTTCGAAACAACAAAACCCAAGTTTTCAACCAGAAACTTCTTCAAAGTCTCAAACCATGCTCTAGGTGCTTGTCTAAGCCCATAAAGAGCCTTCTTTAAGCAACACACTAACTCCTTCCCATATTCACTTTTCTGCTCAAAGCCAGGAGACTGACACATGTATATTTCCTCTACTAACCTTCCATTTAGGAATGCATTATTGATGTCAATTTACCTAAGTGGCCATTATTTCATGACAACAACAGTCAGTACAGTTCTTATTGTACTTGCTCGAACTACTGAACTAAATGTCTCAGATAAGTCTCTCTCTACCATTTGAGAATACCCCTTGGCCATTAGGCGAGCCTTAAGTCTGTCAACTGACCCATCTGGCTTCTTTACACTTTAAAAAGCCACTTGCAACCCACTGCTTTTCACGTTGGAGACAGAGGCTTTAACTCCCACGTACCATTCTTCATAAGAGCAGTATATTCACTTTAAACAGCCTCACACTAAGCATGATGCTGGAATGCTTTATAGACATTTGCTGGCTCTTGAGGACTTATCTCAGCAAGTATCACTTTAGGTTTAAAAATGCCAACTTTGCCACGGGTGACCATAGGATGAGCATTTTGAACTAGCCGAGGTGGACATAGTGGTGGTTATGGTGAAGGTGGAGGTGGTAATGATGGAGGTGGTAAGGATGGAGGTGGAGATGGTGATAGAGATGAAGTAGTAGTTTCAATCGATTCTAAGATGCATGGATGAGATGGGGAGGAGATGAATTGTTGTGATAAAGATGATACATGCGGTGAAGATGATGATGGTGTAGAAGATGATGAATTTGAATGGAAATCTGAATGAGATGAATTTGGAGGAAGAAATGGAGATGTGATGTGTTGTTGTGTTGAAGATGACATGTGGTGAAGGTGATGATGTTGATAGTGTAGTAGATGGTAAGACAGATTTGATTGTGTGTGCTAGTGGGGATGGAAAGAAAGGAAGGATAAAACAAGTTATTTTGAGAAATATTGTTGACACTTGAGTGCTTTCAACTGTTTAATACTGACTGATTAGAAATAGTGGGAAAACTTTGGCGTTGTTGATAAGGAAACTTATTTTCTTCAAATCGAACATGTCTAGACACATAGACACGACCACTAGAGTCTAAACACTTATATCCCTTGTGAACAGGTGAATACCCCAAGAAGACACTAGCAGAAGAACAAAACTGAAATTTGTGCTGATTATAGGGCCTTAAAAAAGGATAACATGTGCAACCAAAAATTCTTAAAAAACTATAATATAGTGGTTTATGAAAAAATCTCATATGGTGACAGACCAGACAACACACGTGTAGGTAGTCGATTAATAAGAAAAACAGACTAGAGTAAGTATCATTCAAAAAACTTAAAGGCATAGAAGCCTGGGCTAGTAGAGAGACCTACCTCAACAATATGCCTATGCTTCCTTTCCACTAAGCCATTTTGTTCTGAAGTATGAGGACGGGATAGCCGATGTACTATACCTTGTTCTTTCATGTAAGCTTGAAGAGCACCAAACTCACCCCCTCCATTTGACTGAAAAACCTTGAGTTTGACACCAAATTGCCTTTTCACTTATCTATGAAACTGAAGAAAAGCAGATTTAACTTCAAATTTTTGTTTTAAGAAATAAATCCAAGTATACCTACTGTGAGCATCAGTAAAGGCAACATAAAACCTAAACCCATTATAGTACACATGAACAGGACCTCACACATCTGATACTATAAGTTCTAATGGTTGTTCATACACAGTAAGTGAGTCATAAATGGGCAGCTTGTGTGATTTAGCAAGCTGACATGCTTTGCACAATATATGTTCTTTATTTATATCAGAAAGAGTTACATTGTAATGTTTTAATGCAGAAAGTAACACTTCTTTAGAAGGGTGGCCAAGTCTTTTATGCCACACATCTATAGACACCCTAGTACTCACAATGTAACAGTTTATTGAAGACAAAGAATTATTATCAGCATTATTAATATGAAATTTATTATCAGCAGTCATGCAAACATTATCAGTGTTATTCATAGAAATATTGAGTTTGTACAATCCTCCATCTTGACTTTCTTTCAACATCACTTTCCGAGATTGCAGATCATGAATTTGATAGAAATTAGATAAAACTCAAGCAAAACCTAATTGTACTGAGTGAATTTGGAAACAGACAATGGATTTTTAGTAATGTTAGGAACATAAAGCAACTTATTTAAGTGAAACTTATTAGAATTAACACAGAAATGTGACTGTCTAGTATACTCTATTGGAAGTGAGTTACCATTGCCTACAATTACACTACCTGTTCCAGGGTGAGTGTCTTTAATCTGTAGATTATTCAAGTCTTTTTTTATGTGATGAGTTGCTCCAGAATATGGATACCAAGCATTATCATCTACTACTCAGGTGTAGCTATATAGGCTTGAGATGTGATTTGTGGTTGAGTAACAACAGTGAACTGATTTGGATTTCCAGTAGGGAATGAAGACATGTTGTGGGGATTCGAACAAATTTGATGTTGAATATTAATATGATAATTTTGTGGTCGAAAATCAGAAACTTGTGGAGCTTGAGAGACTGCAAAAAATTGAGGAATTTGAGGTGCAGAACGTGTATAATACACTGGATTATAAGAGTTGAAGTTGTCACTGTTGGGACTATATGAGCTGACATTGGCTTGAATATTGGAATAGCCTTTAGTGTTAGTGTTTTTTGTAGGCCGAGAGGATTCATTTTTATAGTTCATACAAAATCTATAATAGCATCTTTCAACAAGATGTCCCATCCGACCACACAGTTGACACTGTGGTCTAGAGGATGAAAATCGTCCTCGACCTCTACCCCTATTACAGCTATTATTGTTACTGAAATTTTTACCAGTATTATCAACAAGTTCTCTCTTATACTGATATTCAGAATGTGAAGTATTATTGGAGGTCACTTGATCACTTGTAGCTTGAGTAGCAACGTGAGCACAAGTTGTGACATGGTTAAAGAACTGAGATTTCCTAGTGTCAGTATCTAGTAATATGGTGCTGACAAATCTTAGATCTGGAGGAGTGGGGGTAGCAGTTATAACAGTGATAACAGACTCAAACTCAAGTGGCATACCATTCAATATAGAGTGATATGTTCATGTTCTGATATTATCTTACCACAACTGGCTAAATTGTCACATACAGATTTAATTTTCATCAGATAATCTCTCATACTCAGATCTCCCTTTCTCTGTGAGTGAAGCATTCTCCTATATGACATCAATCTATTCCAGATCTCAACAACAGTATTAAGACCTATGAGATGTGGTAGGACTTTCTCACTAACAGTGGAGAGCAACCAAGAAGCAAGAGCTTCATCTTACTCTTCATAAAGTTCATACTCAAGATTTAGACTAACAACACCATCGCTAGTTACATACTGTGTAGGCCAAAAAATGTTAGAGTCTATGTATTTTTGAAGCCTATGAGTTTTAATAGTAAGAAACACTTGTTGATGCCATAACAGATAGTTGTGATCATCTAAGGTCACATTGATTTTCTTAGTAGAGAATGGTCTAGAGGAGGCAGCATAAGCAGAGCTAGCAAAATTAAGAGCACTGTCATCAGCAATATTTGCCATAAAAATAACAGACAATAGCTTTCAATTAGAACGAAATATGAGCAGCAAAGCAATAAAGGAACAACAAAGACGCAGTATGCCAGAACAACCGAGAACAGTAAATGCAAACCAAAGAGCAGTATGCCAGACCAATCGAGAACAAAAAACACAAATCAAGAGCAGTATGCCAGATTAACCGAGAACAGTAAAGGAGCAATCTCACCAGAACAAAGATCAAAAAAGTCGAACAAGAATCACCCTTCGAAACAGGATGCGAAGAATCAGCCTGAAACCGAAGGACCAAATCGACAAGTAAGTCAGAGTGCAGAGAGCAGCGAATAATTCTGAGACCAAAATGCACTTCAATTTGAACGCAGCATTAGGGATTTAGCACCAATTTTGAAGATTAAGGCAAACAAAAGCAACGAACAGGAGCTTCACGCAGAACGGAAAACAAACGGCCGTAGGAAGTTTAGTGAATGATACCATGACAGAAATCAATCAAAGTAGCTACAAATGATCTAGCTATGGTGAACTGGAAGTGCAAGAGAGAAGAGAAGAAGGTACGAAGACAGTGCTCAATGATATTTCGGAATAGCAGAAATATACAATGTTTTAGGAAAATAACAAAATACACATTCTCTTTTTGAATAGTGGATCAGACCCACTATATATACATATAAGTCTAACTAACTAGCCCAATTGACTAGAAATCGGTTACAACAGATTTAACAAAACAGTTACAGCAACGGCTATCAACTGTAATATGATACACTAATAGAGCAGAGTCGCTTTGGTGCAAATTACACGTTTCGAAAAAAATGAAATAGCATTGTTAATGAAGAAATTAGAATATCATACAATCATAATATCAAACCAATTTAAGAATTATTTTTAGCATCCACATGATTTATTTTGTTTAGCCTAATGCTGCCACGGCTAGAAAAGAAGTAGGTCAATTTTGTTTAGCCTAATGCTACTCTCCTCTTGACTTTAAGACATATCTCTGCTTATTTTCATTTTTGCTGCTTATTGTGTGAAAATTGAATACATCTATCTATCTATATATTATCACTGAGAATGAAACCATACTTGAGACATTCTGTTATAATCAAGCACATACTTGAGACATAAGCATAGTGTAGAAAGTAATGGTATTTTCATCTATTTGGCAGTAAACTAGAATATGAAATTATCAACATGTGCTTTGAAAGGTTGCCCGACTGTTCTAAAATTGCAGACATGAAACCATAGTTAGATGCTCCAGTTTGCTAAAGTCTAGTAAGTTGATGCCAAAACGTCAAAGCACCTTTTTATTTACTTGGTGGAAGCAATTGTTTTGAAAATAATGCAAGGGGTCGAGAGGAAAATGGTCGGCAATTGGTGAAAAAAGACTATATATTATCACTAAGAACATACCTTATGGTCGGCAATCGGTGACCGGAAATTGACGACGATGGCGTGATGAGGCGCTTGTGGCGACGACTGTGTGATGCGCAGTTGTGGTGGTGGATTCAAATTTCACAGTAATTGCATTGAGAGGAAAATTGTAAATTAGAAATTAGGGATTTGAACCGGATCGGTTAAAGGGATGTACACTTGCTACGTTTTTTTTTTTACAAAAACGCCACTAAAGTTTGGTGCAAATACGGTGTTTTCCTCAAAAATGCCACTAAGGTATAGACAGTTGCGGTGTTCACAGTAAAAACGCCGCTAAAGCACGGGTCGATCGTAGCGTTTACGAAACATCGTCGCCTTATATTCTTCAATGGTGGCGTCTGTAGTTTACATATTGCGGCGCTTTATCATAAATGCTGCTAATGTTTTTATTTTATGACGCTCTTCCCATAAATGCCGCGATATGTTCAAATTTAGTGGCGTTTGCTCTTAAAACACCGCTAAAAACCCGTGAAAAACCTATTTTGATGTGGTGATATAATCAAGAAAAATTATAAAAAAAATGATTTTATCATTTTTATAAAGCATGCATGTCCAGGATTAATTTAAAAGAAACACGATATTTAAGAGTGTCATGTGCACCACCCTTCTTTTCTTAAAATGTATTTAGTATATCATTCTTTACTATGTTCATTATTCCAAATTATAGAATACAAAGCCAAATTGTTACTTCAATATAGTGCATAAGTAGTAGGATAGTGTGAACGTGCGTCTCTAGTCTTTGTTGTAGAAAAACACATGGTATTGGAGATTTTCATGCACCACCTTTATTTCCTCAAAACAACTCATGCAATATTTATTATTTTACTCATTATTCTAATTTATAAAATATTGTGACAAATTGACATTCTTTAATTTAGTGCAGAAATTAAAGAGTAAAATTTAATAATCTTGTGAAGATAGGACTTTCTAGTCATAGTAGACGAGTATCTTTTGTGATCTCATTAAGTTAATAATTTTTTTCTACATTACTTTTTGGAAATTAGTATATTCATTAGCAACCACATTATCATACCATCACGCTGCATGCATGTGCAATTACGTACTTAGAAAAATGATGGAAATGATTCAAAGAAGGATCCGTCATGTGTCAAGCTTGTGGTGTCGTTTGAGTGAGGCATATCCGTGAAGGGAATTTGATAATATCATGTTGTGTAAAACAGCGAAACATCAAAGAAGTTTCTCAGTTTCTTTGGAACTTTGCAGTTTCTGTCTTTAGGATACCTCCAAGGGCCAAAAGGGCCTCTGTTGTCGCTTCATGTTTGCTTGGTTATATAGCTGTTTTTGGTAACCAATGAGCCACTATTGTACTTTGTCTCTCATCTTAGATATTATTCTAAAAATGTGACATAGTTCACTCAAGGGGCTTAGACAATCATAGACGAACATATGTTTGGGTTCCAACTTATAATAGTTTAGGGAGCGAGTTTATAAAATTTTATGGGGGAAAACAGATTGTCAATCGAAAATATCTAAAATGTATATAAATTTGAAATTTTTAAGGGGCAACTGTAGGTCCATCACTGTAGGCAACAAGCTAAACCTGACAACTTTGTTTCTTCTCGTAACTTGATTTCTGGCTCTCATGGTATGGGAAGAAAACGCGTTGCAAAGCAGTATGCATTTGATTGGGAGCAAGAGAATTTGCTAGGAAAGTTCCTCATAATCACTTGAATTTGAATTCAGGAACTTAGATGCTTCCCAAATATTCTGCTTTATAAAAGGATCCCCAAGCCAGTAACCTAGTCATGCAAAGTGAAAAGCAGCAGCAAAGTATTAAAGAAAAAAAAAACCATGACGGAGATCGAGGAAGTAAACAACTACGAGGCACTGCCACTTCTCTATTTGAATCATGTCTCGTTGTTGTGTAGATCGGTTCGGGAATCCGTGAGGTTTTACGAAGAAGTTTTGGGATTTGTACTCATCAAACGCCCCTCTTCTTTCAAGTTCAATGGAGCTTGGTAAGCTTGACACTGCTTTAATTTAAACCTTCTTCAAGAGAAGTCCAGTTTTTCATGAAACAGAATAGTAAATGACTGATTGGTCTCCTTTTATGTCATACAGGTTGTATAATTATGGCATTGGGATACACTTAATCGAGAATCCATCGATAGATGATTTCGATACCGTCGTCGAACCTCGTCTGATTAATCCCAAGGATAATCACATATCCTTCCAGGTATAATATATGAATTTGAATCGAATATGCCAGAAACCAAGCCTGCTGCAGGCTGCAACTTTGGTTATTTGTTGTGTGATGATGACAGTGTACTGATGTTGGCCTTGTCAAGAGGAGACTCGAAGGAATGGGAATGAAGTATGTCACGGCGGTGGTGGAAGACGATGGGAACAGGGTCGAGCAGGTGTTCTTCCATGATCCGGATGGGTACATGATTGAGCTCTGCAACTGTGAGAACATCCCAATCATTCCTCTTGCTTCTTGCTCACTCAAACCAAGGCTAAGCAGTTTCACCAAGACCGCACTGGCGAAATGCAGTTTCATGGAAAACGCGATGATGGAGAGCTTGAGCATGGAAATGCTAAACATGTCATTTTGAGGTGCACCAAAAGTTCAAAACAAGAAAACGGTGAACTTCACTTTCTTTTTCTCAGCTATTGTAAGCTGCAATTGTCTTTTTACAGGTTTTATAATGGTGTCTGGTGTGTGTCTGGTTTCATGAAGAAATTGTATTGTTTATAGTACATTTAATAATGTTGTGAGCTTAACCAAGTTGTATTCACAGTGTAATATATACATATACCCTGTAAGCCTAGATTGAAGCTTCTGATATAGATCAAAAGAATTTTCTAATTTAAGTGAAATGTCAAACAATTTTCTACTTTAATTTACTAACCAGAAAATGAAAAACCATGGGGTCAAATATTGATTTATCTGATTCAGTGCAACAAACATTTCCTTCTATGACGATGTTCGATAGAATAAAGAATTTCTTATGTTTTTGCAGGTTGTCTAAGCTAACAAGTATCTCATTAGCCACACCTTGATTATACTACAATACATTGATTGGACTGTCATCCATTGGCATTTGTCCATTTTCTGCAGGTAGATGAGTATGCTTCTTGCTCCAAGTAATGGGGTGCTTTCTATTTTTGGATTTTTCTTTATATTTTTCAAGAAAGACACATCATAGAAAGAAAAATAATGATTCATTAAATTTAAAAATAATCTAATTTTGACTAATATAAAATATAATATAATGATGGTGTAGGTCTAAATCATCCCTCCGCTAACTGCTACATCATTTTGATTTAAAAATATTATACAAAATGTTAGACTAAATATTTAAAATAAAGAGAATTATTGGTGTTGGCGGCAAATGATGGTTTTTGCCCACCTACCATTTTTTTCATTACTTGTTACACCTCATCCTCATCCGCCATAACCAATCAATCATAGCAAGACCAAGGAGATTGTATATACTTCAATAATTCAATATTTTCAATATTTTCCCAGGTCTTGAAAGGTAGATTTTAAATACAAGTAAACACTTGGGAACTTGGCTAGTTGTTCATAGTTGTAGTTAATTTAAAAGAACATTTAAAGAATCTAATTTCTTTTTTTTTCTTTGAAAATATAGGATTTATGAACCACCAAAGATGAAGTATCGGATTAGGATACCATAATCATGGAAAAACAAGATATGCATCCTGTATGAGAAGATATCAGCTGACACTTTAACCACAAGGGAGTAGATAATAGGTTGAAACTAAAGAGAGGAGATGCTAGGCTTCTAGAAAAAACTGGGTCCATGGCAGATATGTGACTGGTGGGCAAGATTAAAGGGCAATAGAGGTTCTCAGCCCCACAAACAAGTCCCAAGAAACCCAAGTGACTCTTTGAAAAACTTGTGGTGTACATCGAGTGAGCCAATCACCATAAAAGTGGACAAAAACAAAACCCTCCTCCACTCTCTACAGTCCAATCCCATTTCTCTCTTTACCCCATCCTTCTCCAATCTTTTGTTATTTTATAAGGAAAAAGAAGAAAAACATCATCTTGTTTCCCTTTTCTTCCTTTTTATCATCAATCCTTGTCCCTTACCATCATCATCACTCCCCCTAAACACCAACAAAAAAAATAGCTGCTTTCTGGTTTTGATTGGGAGAGGATGAGAGTGAGAGAGCATTATGCGAATCCTTTGTGACGCTTGTGAAAGTGCTCCTGCTATTGTCTTCTGTGCTGCCGATGAGGCTGCTCTTTGTCGTGCCTGTGATGAAAAGGTCGGTTCTTTCCTCCTGTACTACACGCTCCGGGTTGTGTATTTGTTTAGCTCTTAACTGGACCCCATGTTTGATTTTTGTTTACTACTCTTCTTTGTTGGAAGCGTGATTTTTTTTTCTTATAGTTTTCTTGCTGGTGCAATTGTTTTACTTGATATTTTGTCTTTTTTAATCCAACCCAATAAACACCCTTTATTTTCTTCTTCAAGATTGATCTTTTATGCGGTCTCTTCTGTGTAAATTCTCGTCTGAGATTCCAATTTTTTTATGAGTAATCCAATGCATTGAAAAGGGATGTTTTTTCAACCTTGTCAAGAATTAGAGTTCTTACATTGTTCTGGAAAATGGAACCTTTGTTTTGAACGATTGATGAATGTTTACAGGTCCATACGTGCAATAAGCTTGCTAGCCGCCATGTCCGGGTGGGTCTAGCAAATCCCAGTGATGTTCCTCGCTGTGACATATGTGAAAATGCACCTGGTATGAAGGTGTTGTTTGTGTCATTTGCTTTTCATTTTAAAGCTTTTGCTTTATAAGCGGATCTGTATAAGTTTTGTTTAAAACTTATTTTCATTTCTTGGAACTATGTATGTAGCTTTCTTTTACTGCGAAATAGATGGAAGTTCCCTTTGTTTGCAATGTGATGTGATTGTACATGTTGGAGGTAAAAAAACCCATGGAAGAAATCTTCTCTCAAGGCAGAGAGTAGAGGTTTGTCTCCTATATCTTTGACAAGAATTCAGTCATATATTACATTTCTCCTGGATTTTAAGTTTGCCCTTTTGGAATTCTGTTGCCTTGTTTCTTCTGCAGTTTCCGGGGGATAGTGCGGTGGATCGTAGTGAGAACGGAATAAGCCTAAATCAGTCAGCTAAACCTACGATAGGAGAGAACCAACAAAATCACAAGGTCTCTCCTTCACAAGTGATGGCTGCTAAAGATCTCAAGACCGATACTAAAATTGATTTGAATATGAAGCCTCATCGAATGCATGAGCAAGCCTAAAACAATCAGGTTGGAACTGTTTTCACCATTTCTCCTTTTTCTCTTTCACACAGCATTTAGAGCACATATCTTGTTCTTTCAACATCCATTATGGAGAGACATTAGGTACATGTGTTGTTAGGATGTCCCTCGAAATTTCGTTCTGCATGTTCAATGATCATGCCTTTGTTTTGATGCATGAAAAAGACATGCCTATATAATGAGTTCCTCTTTAACTTTTGATAAAGTTATTTTGTTTATATATCCAAAAAGGAAGCGTGATTTCCTTTTCTGCCATATGTAATAGATGCATGCATTCCGAGCAATTCGAAAATGTACAACATTCAAAGCTTTCACTCTAGGTTCATGCACAGTCCATCTGAACTTATTTCATGCTAGTGCATTTGTTCGATTTAGTTCTTTTTGTTGACATGCGAGTAAAACTATAGTCTATACATTAGATTCTTCTTAAACTTACATATTGACCCTTGATTCCTATTTTGATACTGAAGGAACAATAATTCGTTTTTCTCATCGGAGGTGGTGATGGTCATTGATCACGATACATGGTACCGATTTGTTAAATTCTATTTAGAAGCCAGAGCTTGGGGGAGTTCTTGCCGTTTCTGGTCAATCAATCATCTCCTTTGCTTTAATATCGTTAGCCTAGTTGTTTAAACCAGTTTCCAGACAGCTTTTGAGCCTCGTACTGCAAGGCAAAAGAATGTAATCCGCATACATTGCAAGAAATGATCTCTAATCTGTCATTCCTTTTTAGGTTTTGTTTGTAATGGTTGGAATTGCATTGTGAAAACAGTACGTTTTGTATGACTTTCTCGAAACAGGTGGGAATAATTGTTAATGGTTTAGATCAATGCTTAGAGAGTAATGGAAATACCGAAATTTTTAAATGACACAAAGATCTCTCTTTTCAGTTAATCCTCAGAACTGTGCTGGTGAACTGTAAGTAATTGACCGTACTTGTAGTTGGTTATAACTTCTTTTATCCCCTTCATGTTAACTGGTGATGGTTTAAATGGACACTTGAAATACTCAAAAACAGTAAATCTGGCTTGTTTACTGGCGGTTTCTGATGCAGTAAGCCAGGTGCTTGGTATTCAGTAGCAAGATTATACAGCATCAATTATCCAATAGAAGTGTGCTTTGAATTAGAAATTTTACTGCGGGAAATTTGTAAAGCTGATGATGCTGCATGTTATTGTTATCGATAAATTTGTGTCCCGTTAGCTATGAGGATAACAGCAACGATGATCTTCGTAACTTATACATGATTTATAATTTTATCAATGTTGTCTTCTATGGATTTAATTCAAAACAGCCTAGTAAACATAAACCTTGACAAGCATTCCATGCTTGGCCTCCTCGGACTCTCCCTTGCCTATGTACTTTCCATGTTGAGCAAGAGAATTGGCTTTTTCCCGAACAAGTAGTGCGTCCTCAGCCTCCTTCACGTTCTCAGGTCTGCCTCCCCACATCTTCAGGCAAGTATTTTGAAGCTCTCTTGCGTTTGAGACCGACACATTCCATGGATTTAGTGCTTGGTTCATAGCATTCAAGTTCAAGGTAGCCTCAACTTCAGACTGCCCACCAGAAACTGCCATAACCAAGACAGATTAATCATTAGCTGCCGAGTTTCATCTAACCACGTGTAAAAAACTTGCAGGTTTACCATGATTACAGGCACAGCTGGAGGGATTCGGTGGTGGAGGAGGCTGAGGGTGTAGCCAGCAACCTGTTCGAGAGTAGCTCAGTCCTTGCACTCTGCACCAGGAGTGACCATGCTTGGCTTGAGAAGGATACCTTCAAACATCACATTTTTCTGAGCAAGATAGAAGAAAACCTCAGCCCACACCTTTTTGGCTACTTCGAAAGTCCTACGATTCTGTGATCAGCATCAAGCAAGATCTCTGGCTCAACAATTGGAACCAAACCTTTGTCCTGCATGGCCAAACACCAACTCATCCAATGCAATACTGTAATCAAGACAGTCTTATAATAAGATTCCACTCCCTCATATTCGTATCTGAGAGACAGTAGCATAGCGAGCGAATCCCCTAGCTGCTTCCTTCACAGCAACTACAGATGGTCCATTGGGAATGCTCATGACGGTACGCTTATAAACATTATGGAAAGCAACTTAAAATAGTTGAACATGAACTGGGAAATGGGATAACGTTTTATCATTTTGCAGAGCTTGTTGGTAGTATGCAGCAGAACTTGAGGCGAGGCCATCAAGACCTTGGCACCATGACTCGTTGTTTGAGCCAGCCAGTGGAACAGGACCCGCACAGTATTCATATTATTGAGCTCTTACTATAGATAGTACTTAGCATTAAATTTGAACTACATAGTGGGCATTCCTCCCACAAATGGGAGATGGGACTTTACCTAGTCGACCTTGATACCAGGATTATGCTCTGCTCAGCAAGAACATTGACCATCTTTTTACCATGGATCGTGTACTGGTAAAGGGCATCCTGAAAGTGGATGGCACCTGAGATGTACTGACCAATTCCAGGAGCTGAAACAAGCAATGTCCTACTGGCCCGCTTGACGATTAGCCTCTGTGTTCTCTAGCCCAAATGAGGCCGAATGTTTCCCACAGGTAGCGTTGAACTCATCCATGGCCAAAATTCCACGGCCTGGAGAAGCGATAGTTTTCTACAAACATCCCATATAAGTGAAATAATTGTTCCTTCCGAAAATTGTTAAAAGCTTATAATACCATTTTTTTTCCTAGTGTTGTCATTTTACGAAAATTGTAAATATGGTATTTACAGCAGTTTTGACAAGCTCATCGGCATGAGCGAGCAAGCAAGCACGCAAAGTCCAGAGGGAGCAACAGGGTGGCACCTCACTTCAGAAACTGAAGGTTGGCAAAAGGTCTGACCCTCAACCTACTCGGACTTGTGACATAAATGGTTCCATAGTGAACAGATCTGGAAACTACAAACCTATGTTACTCCCAGCTAAATAAACAAACGTTCAGACACCATAAGCTCACAAATTGACACGCCGGACAAAAATTGTCATATATCTTGATAGCAAAGACGGGTGGTTCCAATTAACCATCTGTCCTTCCAGTATAAGCTCACAAACAGATAGTCTTTGTGAGCGCTGAAGAAGATTCTGCAGTTTATAAATCAAGTTGTAAAGTTGATGCAGTCACTGGATGGCACCCTTTTAGAAAAACATAACCATGAATAATTCAGTATCCTCCTACAGGACCCAAGATAACTAATGCAAAGGCAATTTCAGTAAAGGTGAGAAACAATGTAGCATCCTCATAGAAAGAATAGTTACAGAATATACATGGTCAATGTATGCTACAGCACGAATCAACTATACAAATTAATACATTACTGTACATTTATTGTTGATTCCCCATATTGTTTATAAATTTTACTTGTGCATCAATGATCAAGCATAATCCACTTTCGGATGCGGAAGAACAACCTATAGTCCAAGAGGTGGCTTGTCAAGACTGGAAAAGAGTCACCGTTGCAATATAGCCATTCTTCATAACCTGCTAATAGCAAAAGATTTATATTAGCAATTTTTTCACAATATCTCTAAAGAGAATATTATCAAAATATGAGTTGTGCCAAATGCTAAAAAGCAAATCAAGCGGGGAATTTGACAAACTTCTACCTCAAATGCAGCATTCGGGTAGCCTTATACAAAAGTAGACCCGAAAGGATTGCTGGTAGAACCTTGTGTTTGAATAGCCGCACGACCACAGTCACCAAGGATTTCCTGCAATAAAGTATCATTCTTAGTGACAACAAACACAGGAATGAAACAGGACCCGAGAGGTTGATGTTAAGGAAAAATATCGGGAAGTGTCCAACTGTAAAAATTTACCTTGACCTGCTCCCACTTGGTGCTTGGAGTAATTCGGTTTTTGTAGTTGTTTACATCTGGGAAAGACCCCCAACTGCGGGCAAGAAACAAAATAATAGATCAATCACCCTCACCAATATTTGTAATGATAAAATGCTGAAAAAGGGGGATTGTCAGAACCTAGGATAACAAAATTGCACTTAATGTATGAACTGAAATCTGCATGACCAGGATAGTTCATGTGTAAAACAAACTTCTTGACTTTATGAGTCTGCAAAATCAAAAAAGCATTCTAAGAATTTATGGACAACATTAATTCCATGATTACAGTGTTTGTAACTGTAGATAACATAGGAATATTAGCCAGAAATTCCTACTTAACCATGTAGGAATCAAAACAATTTAGGAAGGTTCCTTTATTTTTCGGGTGTTACGAGTATATGTTTCCAGTACCTGGCCATCAAATAAGGTGTCCACCACGGGTAAAATAATTGTAGAAATAATCGGCACAAAGTGTTGTCCGAGGACGAGGATCAGAAGCAGAGTGAATACCCATTTGGTCAACCTGTTGACAAAATAATTATTGCCATGAGGGTAATATGCAAAACAATCATGCATAAAACGATGTCATACAAGAAATTGAAAACCCGTTCACTCCATAACTGAATGCAACTAAGAAAATAAATATCATGACTAATTAATAGGCTATATTCGGTAAATGCTTTTGCCTTTTTCTGTGTGCTCTGGTTTTAGCTTTTTATTTTGGACTCAAAAAAGAAAATAGCAAATAGCAAAAGCATCAATTAAAAGAAATGTAGTGTCCGATGCAGCAACTCCATAGGTGAAAACTTAACGTGTATAACCAGTGTAAAAATCCCATAGCACATTTCCAAGTTTCCATGCAACGTTTTTACCTGTTTTGATGGATTCCGCAAGGACGTCCTAATTCAGACCAGACATCCTGCATGAAAGGGAATATCATAAAATTGGTACTAGCCCACAAGAAGAGAACAAATGATTCCCTGCAAAGGAAAAGTAAATGAAGCTTAATCTCAAGAAATCAATTTGATATTTACTTGTGGTGATGCACCGAAGGGAATATGCTGGCCTCCAACAGTGAAAAATAATCCTTCCCCAAGCTGGAAATATAGACATGAGATTCAAAAGGTTAGTCTCCAGATTAAGAGACTACTGATACTTTAGATGTCGCTGAACCAAATAATTAGGTCAATCCAAATATCAAACTCAAGACATCATATTCGTAAAAAGGCCATTTGTTTTCAATAGACGTAATCCAAAAATTGACTCTAGAAGAATGGAAAGTAGAAAGGTATTGCAATACCAAAATGAGATAGCTGACTCATTAACAACAGGACTAAGGAAGGTAGAAGTCAAACCTTTGCATGCACCTCTTCCATGTAAAAGCTTCCAGTTGGTAATGGGGGAGCAGACGCCTTATCCATTAAGGATCCAACGCCAACTTTTTTGCCTGCAGAACTATCATAGATGGATACACGGCAGGTAACTGGGGTGGTTCCATCAGGAAATTCCAAAGGCAATTCTGCTGTCAAGTAAAAGAGCAAAATTAATTAGGAATTGACAGTTGAAGAGTAGGTGTGACATGTAATCAGGAGAAACAAATAAAAACCTTCTCCATTGTGACAGCAATCTGAATATTGACTTGGAATAGGAAAAGAAAATGAAAGACCCTGCAAAATAACAAGATAATAAACTGCAGACTCAGAGACAACCTTTGAAAATACAGAATAAAACGGCAGTCTCACAATCGTAAAAAGGCACATACTGGGTAGAATAGGACATAAACACCTCTGTCCTTGCATAAGTTCCGGGATAGGTTGGACCAAAAAGTGCATAGACAGCTACAAAGGTAGCAAGTGTAGAAGGTCCCCTGCAGGTGGAACCAGGTTCACCATCAAAACATACAATTTTGAAATGTGGAAATAAACCT